ACATCGCTGTGCTATCCATACCAATACCTATTTTTTTTATCGCTTGGAGCGCACGAAAGGGAATCCCTATAATGTTCAAAGAACATCGTGCGCTCCTGGGGAGGATAGGGACAGGAGGTAGGTATTGGAATTTTTTTGAACTTCTGGAGATTATATGTTGTTGGGAATACTTCCACAGGCAATGAATTCCAGAGCCTAGCCGTTCTAGGGATGATGGAGTCTTGATAAAGTGCTGTTCGACATCTTTCGAGGTTGAAAACGAAAGGATGTGCTGACTGGGCTTGTCTATAGTTCGTCTGATCGGTATTGCTAGTGAAGGAATGATAGCAGAGATTTCCGAAGAACATTTGCATTGGAAGTATCGATAGAAAAGTGAAAGGTCGCCGACCTCTCTACGGTGTTCCAATGATGTCAAAGAGTGAGTGAGTGTGGCGTCACCAGAGGCGGATGGCTCTTCTCTGGATGGAATCTAAGAGCACACTGAGAGAAACTGGATATTAAAAATATCTACCAGCTCTGATCTTAATAACCATTATAAGGAAATTTCCTATTCCTGATCATTTTATTATTACAACAGTATTCTCCCCATTCTGTAATTATAAAAATCGATTTCTTAAATCATTTGAAATACTCTTGAATGGACATTTGCTACCATCATAACGCAGGTGTGTTATGACATTATGAGAATTTTATAAATTCCAGTCTATTTAGATTTTTTATTGACATAGCTCGTTTTGTGAATTATGCTCATTGGTGAATTCAGATAATGTTTGTCCCAATAATCATAGCTGTTTGGGTTTCTAGCATTGTACGTTGACGAATAACTCTAGCAATTCACATGTATGACAGTTATTAGGCAAACATTCAACAATCGTAATTCGGCTCATTTCGCTCTAGTGTTTCATTAGTATTGGGACTGACAAAGATACAGATCGCGTTCATTTCACTGCTGTTCTCGGTCATGGGTGCTCGTGTTCAATTATTGTTCAATGGTTTCGATCGTCCGAATCGATAAAGCCGTGTCTTGTAGGTGAATGTCTGTGATGTAGCAAAGTTTTGTTTTAGTGCTGGCTGTGAATAACCGATCTGTGGAATACACCGTGCATTGCATTATTGCAATGAAAAAAGTATTCTCCATACCCACTTTTCATGGCCTAAAATTGGTTTTTTGCCAAAACAAAATGATCGATGGGATTCTGAATCAAATATCTGGGTTTCTGTGAGGGAAGTTTTATTGACAATTCTCATCATAACTCCGAAGGAAGGGTAAATATAAGTATTCAACTTCTCATTTCCTAATAAATTCGTCAGTAATGAATATAGATGATATTTCTCCGAAAAAATCAATGAGTAATGTCAAAAAACTTCCACAGATACCCAAATATTTAAATTCAGAGACTGAACGTATTTTTTTGTTATTTTGAAAACAATAACTTTGGATCATGAAAAGTGATAGTGTGGATAGGATATTTATTTTCATTGCAGTAATTCAAAGCACGGTTTCATAATGCATACCATCGAATAATGTTGATTAGATAACCTTATTACCACCGTTTGATGAATATACTAGAGTAGAAAAATATTGGGATAACTGTTGAAAATGAGCTATATTACAATAGCATGTCAAAATGTCAGGTTTCATGCAGATATCAGATAACTATAATAAAATGAGACGTATTACTGCGTTACCTCAAGAAGGTTGTGCCAGTAATAAAAACATGCTGTTTTATGTCGATAGTCTAATAACCACTGTAGAGTGGAGAGTTACTGCAACATTTTATGGGAATAATTCCTATTCGACATTCTGTGTTATCATAGAAACTTGAACAAGTAGTAGTTATTCAGCAGCGGTGTTTTTATATACAAGTTTGCAAATTGAATAAGCTGCCATAACTACAAGTCACCTGAAAATTCACTTCATCTATGGTAGCAAATGAACACATCTGTCCCCTATTTATTGCAGATATCGTAATAACGGTTATCAGATTTCCAATTATGATAACTCAAGTTTTCTCTCAGTGCATCAGCGTATCAGCGTATCAGTATTCTAGAACAGGCCGTATCTGCGCTTTGTAGTTCATGAGAAGCTGTTGAGGTGTAAATTAGCTTTTCGCACGGATCAAGAATCCGAGTTTTTGTGAAGCAGCTTTTGCGATGGATCTGACATGATTATCCCATGAAAGAGTGTTGCTGATGGAAATACCGAGCATAGATATGGTGGGCTTGGTGAGTATGGTGGAGCCAGACATTACAATATCGGGCATATACTGAGTTTCGCCTTTCTAGAGAAAATACAGGCTTGAGTTTTGGTGGCGTTGAATTCAACTAGGTTGTTGGTTCCCCAGGCTGATGTGATTTCAGTCTTCAACCATAGGCCATTTGATGATTTTATACAACCGATTCAATTCAATACCCGATTCATTACATTTATTCGTCCATACAAGGTCCTGGACGTTCAGACCAAAAATGGACCTATAGAATGGACGTCCTCGGGGCATCCTGTGCTGTCTGGGCAGGGAGATCCTGTTACCATTCTCGCGATTTTGTTTTGCAATGTTTGTACCCTAGTGATAGGAGAATTAGCCATGTGGCGCCAGACTACTGAGGCATACACTAAAATTGGCCTGATGCCGTGATGGCCATGATGTAAATATTCAAGTTTTGTCTCAAACCCAATTTACTATTTACTATTTACTTCGCCTGTTAAGAAATGACAATAATTGTGTAAACTAGTTCGTGAAATAATTTAATGAATCCATATTACGTGACAACACGATCCAAAATTCCGTTCACCCAGCCCAATCCAGATAGCTCCTGAATCCGAATTAGTCCAAACGAGATCTCGTCTTCCCATTCCGACTCATCACCCACCAATTTTCCGTGACAAACTACTCCGAATAACCGGCTTCAATACGAATGCTTCTCTAAACTAAAGCAGTGAAGCAATCTAAAGTTCTCTGTCTCACTCGCGCCTCCGCCAACGTAAACAGCGTGTTTATCGAGTGCCGAGAGCAGCAGACAGTACGGCAGCCATTGTAAGTCTCCGTGCCACCAATCATTATTGCAGCAAGAGTTAGGAAATGTGTTGCTTAGCAACTCCACTCCGCTAGACAGCGGGAACTTTCGGCGAAGGGGACGCAAGCGCGTACTGTCACGGTTCTCGACCGCATTTGTCTATTGTAATGACAGTCGAGTTGCGGCGAGATATTCCCGGCATTTCCTTTGTTGACAACGAGAATGAAGACGGAATCGGAACTTGTGTTCAAATGCGGTCGCCTCTTGCATATTCATGAAACGCAATCGCGAATTGCTGAAATGGAAGTCGATAAGGGTCCTTGTGAAACGATTGGAGGTAGAACTACAACACCTATTGAATACGAGGTCTGGTACGTGAATACATTTCAATAAATTTATGAAAATATTGGCCTCCATTCTCTGCTGCAAAATCTTCCTTGAACCCTGATCTAAGTATACCTCCTGAGAACATTTTCGCGTTAATTCATTCCTTGAGGTCAGAATGTCAGATTTTTTGTGGAGGAATGTACATGGGCGATAAAAATCATAGACCTAACTATATAGATGCGAAAGCTCTGACACCGCCTCTGATATTCGATGGATCCTACTCTACCACCGATTATACATACCTATACGGAGAAAAATGTATTGTTAAATTCACACACACATTTTCCTTCGAGCTACACTGGAAAAACATGCATGTTTGCAATATTCACCTGAATTGGTAATAATTTTTCTGTGTTTCTCTCGTATTGACCAACTCGAATAGACAGATAAATAGGGGTAATGTGCCTATGATGACCCCCTGCGAATGAAGGCTCACCACCTGTATGTGCAAATATCGCGCTCTTACCGTCTCAACGCCAGTTGCTATTGATTTTACGAGCTTGTATACTTCATGTTAGTGAATTCACGAAATAAAATCCAAATTGGTGAGTGTTGATCCAAGAAAATGGTTCTCATTTTCTGAATTTCACTCTCATAGTGAAATGCACATTGTGAATATGTTTTTATCTTCAAATTGATTCTTGTGTAAATAGAACATAATTATGTTATTTGATTCGAAATATTAATACGTTCATTCGCCTATGATGGATTCCCAATTGCATTCCCGTGCATGCCACAACGAAGGCGCTGGTGTTGACAATCGGTGCAAGCAATTCGAAAACGAATTATGTGTTCCAATGAATTCTCCATTTTCAATCTTCATTGTATCATTCTCATTTATACGCATATAGAGTTGAGTATTCCATATTTTATAAACAATTTGAATGATAAAATCAAATATGTTTCTATATGTAAACCGTCAAGGAGCCATCATAAACATCTATTATGTTCCTATGATGGACCACTAAGAGGATTTCAGAAAAATGCTTATAAATGACATTATTCAATTTTTGGAGAGAATAATGATAGCTAACATTGAATTACAACTGATAAGGAGTCGGTAAGGAACTCAATAGTATTAAATGAATTCATAATGAGGAAATTATGGGGCAAATTTCTTTGGGGGGGGAGGGGTGGCATCATAGGCACATTTCCCCTATCTGATTGAGTTCAGTATAATGAAACTAAAAGAAATTAGGATATTTCTGATCATTTGTATGCCAAACTGATATGGCCAAGTGAGGTGAAATATTTGAAGCAGAGATTAACTAGATTGTACTAGATACTCCTTATAACTATGACGCCGCCGCACATGCGCATACCAGTTCGATTCTGGTGGGAGGCCTAGTTTTCGCATCTGTATAATTGGTTAACTGTGTGGCAAAAAACCAAAGTGCGTGCTGTTGAAACAAATAGAAATGTCTTGCATGGAAACTAGTTCCTTGTGTCGACTTCTCGAAGAAACAACGAACTGGAAAAATTAATGTACCACTTCCTCGATTAACCTACTGACAGTATTTGATACGGTTTATTGTCCAGTTGACCACATATTTCCAACCATAACTCCATTTTTGAACACGTTTTCTACATTGTTTCAGATCGTCCTTAACTCGATGCACCGATACCAGCCGAGAATCCATTTGGTGAAGTGGAAAGAGCATTCCGGGGCTATCGTCGATCTGGAACAGGAGCAGTATCGAACGTTCATTTTTCCAGAGACCGTTTTCACGGCAGTAACCGCCTATCAAAATCAGCTCATCACGAAATTGAAAATCGATTCGAATCCGTTCGCCAAGGGCTTCAGGGATTCTTCTCGACTCACGGACTTTGACAGGTACCGATTTATAACACTTTGCAACTTTGCGCAGCGTTTCTGGAAGGCATATCTTCGAGTGGTGATTTATTGGATGTTTCGATTTAATATTGGTTCCTGAAATTATGAATTTTGCAAGAACATATTTATATATATTTTCGGACTCGAAAGTGTCTAAGTGCCAAATGAGGAAACAAACATAACATTTAATTATATTTCAATGACACGCACATTTCCAAATTTCCTGATGTACGATATAATTCATCCGACATAATACTTCTCAAAACTGAGAGTACCAAAAAGAATTTTGGTGCTACGAGACAGCTTGAGCCTCTCTTTTCTCATCTGTTGAGGCGCACGAAAAGGAATCCCTGTAATGTTCAGTATATACAAAATGTGGCTTTGAAGCCACGCCTAATTCAACATTCAACTGTAAAGACCAGTACCACAGTCAATTTCACTGATTGAAAACGAAGAATTCCATGAAACCCAAAATGAGTAAGTAAGTCCCAAATTGATTGTCCGAATGTGGTAATCTCTGTCAATATTCACACACTAATCGTGCTCAATTAGTATGAACGTTGTAGATAAATACCATTGAAGTTTCAAAAAAAAAAACGCGAAATACATTGTCGGATATTTTCTATATCGAGGATATCAAGATACTAATGCTAATCAACGTAGGAAAGCCTGTGACATTAATAAAATGGTGAGATGGAAAACGTTTGGGGAGGAACAAGTCAATGCCTCGCGAAGTAGAAAATCAAATGAAGATACATCAATGAAAATAAATGTTAGGTTCTTCTCAAACGATGAGATGTCCTCAAATTTTTGATATCGTAAGTCGATACAAGAAATGAATGATGGTAATTATAAAGATTTCGGGGCCATCTTTCTTCATATGCAGGGTTTGCGGCTATTTTATTTCTATTTATAGTATGAGATTTTGTCGGTTCGAAAAACTATAATTTTTATGGGGAGCCATCGTCTCAAAAGAGACGCCACTTGATTCGTTCCAATACCAACACCTTCACAACATTCATTAAACATAAACGGCAGAAGCCTGCTAGATCATCAGCTACCGTTCTGCTTTACGATGTCATAAAAACAACTGCTAATAACAATAAGATAATTACAAACGAAGAAAAAATCCTTTAACGATTGTTCTGTCGGTCCGTGCACAACAAATCTAATTAAGGTATGAGTTCTGACGTCACAAAATAGACGTTACAGTGAAAGAAAAACACTCGAGCGGCGACGTTAAAGCAGCAGTAAATTTTGCTTATTACTTTTTCTTTGTTTTGAAGCTGCATTATATGTCTTGGGGTTGTGAGAGGAAAGCGATGGGCGATGTATTATTGGACATCGTAAAAAAATGGGGTCTTATCTGTTGAATTATTTGATTTGCGCTACCTAGGATTTTACTACTGCTGAACGAGGGGTCGCGACAAAATGAATATTACAAATATATCTTATCTCATAATCTTCATAGTTTTTGATCGAGTGAAATTGGAATTCTCTTGAAAATAGAAAGATAGTGATATAAAATGGTGATTCATTTCAATCCTTTCATGTACAATTATAGACAGGTGCCGATATTTAGATGGTACCGGATGGTACAGTAGTATAGGCAGGAAGGACAAGGAAGTTATTTGAAAAGTATCATTGGTCTACCCCCTTCCGATGCTATTTTCATATATGATGTTTACCACCACTCTACTCACGATAGCACTTTTAGCCACGAATAGATTCGATGAAAGCGTGCCAGCGACGTATCATGAATGTTCATGGAGTGGTTGTTTGTGTTTACGTTGGTAAATCAAGTAAAATGCCTGTGTATAGTATATCGTTCTAATATAATATTATTTAGTTCATCCCTCCATTCATTCTTGGACGTTTTCGAATATTTTAGAACGCCCATGTCCCACGCTAGGTCCGATTCGAGTAGGTTGGGAAACAACTGTGGATTTGGGAAAAAAAGCACTATGTTTGAGTAGCGGCTGGACAAGTGGAATCTACCATATTCATTGTCATATAAACGAGTGATTCATAATTTTATCATTGAGTGAAATAGATTCTTCCTTTTTTAGAATCACTATATACATAATATATAAATTTCTTGATGAAATTCCAATGTCAGAATACTAGAAAATATGGAGACTTTTTCGTGCTGCTACCTACCTGATACAACTTTTTCTTGTTGAACTGGTGATGATGTGATGTCAAGACTATACACTCGAGAATTTTTGATACGAGAACAAGTTTCTGAATCACTTTATGCTTTTCGGAACTTTGATCATAAATTATTGGTATAATTCAAGATTTCAAGATTTTTCATTCATTGAGATATTAGATAATAGATACCTATTTTTTTAATATCATAATCCGCATTATCTCTGACATCGTTCTCTGATGTCTCTCGGCAGTCAGATTCCATCACTTGTCTACGATTACCCAATTTGTTACAGATTTCGGCGGTCACCGGTAATTACAAGGTATTAGACAAATACAAATTTGTTTTTATCTGACGCATCGATCAATCGTGAGCGGCGTATCAATCCTCAAAGGAGAAGGGTCCTCGCCCACCGCATTGGCTCTATTAGGCCGGATTGAGGCACAAGGCGCAGGGATGGGCTCTGAAATATTGGCCTCGAGGGACTGTCGCATATTTAACGTTATCTGAATTGCCACCTAAGCAACTTCACGAGATCTCTTGTATCAGAAGTTGATTTCAATAACATTTTAATGAAAGAATGAAAAAATGATGGAATTGAACGGTAAAAACAAAATGTAAAATTTGTCACCTCTATCAAAAATGCAAACATTCAACAAAAAAATAATCATCTCATCCTGAATAATACAGATTCACTGAACATCTCTATACCTATTATGGAATGGAGCATAACTTGATTTAGCCCAAATATCATTGATACCACGGAAATCGTTCAAAGGTTATGAGTGGAATGAATTTAATTGAATTATTTTTTTACTCCCAAAGTCAATCACTCCGTAACGAAGCGACTTTTTTATATGGAGTATAACATTATTTTGGCTCACTATATCAGCTTCACCATTCACAACTTGACTTTTCTGGACACCCTGTATAGTCTGTTTTTTTTTTCAATTCGCATATGTGGCAGGTGTTTCATACAGGTTTAGGCTTGGTGAAGTGATGAGACTGCCGACTGCCTATCTCGAGCATTAGGGCGAATTCTGGTCTGACTGGGGTTGTATTGTATTGTACTGCGAACTATAAGATCTATTGCGCCCCTTTCTTTTTCTGTGCTCGATGAAGTTGTTGCCGTGTCTCCAGCAATCTCTCAAGTCCTATATATCCCTCAGAAATTTCAGGATATGAGGTGGTTCCAGGTATAGGGTAGCTCCTCCTCCACCTCCATTATGTGTGCTCCTAGGCATCGGACATCATTTTTCAGACAACTGTCTTAGGTATCTTGCCCTTGGGTTATGAGGGGTGACACATTTGTATATACATAGAGGTTTAATCCTCTTTCCCACAGAACTGCATTCGTCTTCCTGTTCTTCGCCTAGCTCCTGAGATGTCCTTTCAACCAACAATGCATTATTGGGATTTCTGTCAGTATACGAAGTTTATTTTTGGTTAGGCTGACATATGAGTTTGATATTGAAGATTTTGCCGAATGTCTGATCTCTATTTTGCTTCTTATTTTCTGATTTTTTCTGAAAGAGTAGTTACTGCTGCTGAGCTCATTTCCTAGAGAGTTTGGCCGCTACTTCATTTCCTTCTACTCCGGATTCTATGGAAAGGTGACTGTTTTTCTGTTCGTTATAGTTCGTTGAGTTTTTCCCATCATCATTCAGAAACCATTTTAGAGCTGATAACATAAAGCTTTCGCTTTGATTGCTGCTTGACTTGCGGACATCTTTCATAGCTTTCTTAAAGATTGAACTGTACTTACCCATTTCCCTATCGCGTGAACTTTCCCCTCTGGAATACTATGCTTGGAATTTTGCCGGGACTCTCGAAGTACAGGTACGAGGCCCGTATGCTCCTATTCGGTTTTGAAGCCATCTATGTACCATTTCATGACTTCTTGTTTGAGCTCACTACCCATGGATTCACTGTTGAATTATTTTTTGCAGCTCAGCTTTGTGGTGAATTGAAGCTGTACTTTTTCTTCATCTCTTGCTGAGGCAATTAGTATAATTGGCAAATTGTCACGTTCGTTGTGGGTATCATTTTTCTCTAACTTTACTAGACCTTCACAACACTGGACAATAATTTGATGGACATATTATTGGCACCTGATGATTTATTTCAAAATCTTCCACAAAAGTTGGTTTGATTCCTTGTTGGGTACGCCACTGTCCACGAGCCGCGGCAATTCGATCCGGATTCATCAGGAGCGGCGGCTCTGCGAAAACAATCAATAATATTGAGACGGGCCAAGGTGATAATGAGCCCGGCCCGACACGCCCATCCGTACAGCGACCTACCCCCACCCTCGGGTAATTAGTAGTAGGCGAGCCAGCGATCGAGAAAATAACCGGGAAAATACGGCAACCTACCTGAGGTGTGAGAAAATGCCTCCTCGGCTTCATTATATCATCAAAGCGTTCTCTGAAGACGACGATCTCTCGAGATTACAGGGCGGCGCGCCGACTAACGCCTTCCAGCGTTACCGGCAGAGATTTCGAAACAACGCGTAAATTAAATTCTACGCGCTGTGTTGCCAACAATGCTATAACTATATAGCGTTTAGCCTATGATTGAACCATCGACGTCCATGCATACAGGATGAGGAACAAGTAGCAAAGTTTGAAGATCCTTATTCGATATCTGTTTCTAATCATATTGTTGATTGTAGAGTGTTGTTTTCAGTAGGTAACGGTTGGTCCGCAAAAACATTCCTGCTGATTGTTAAAATTCTTCCAAAAGAAGACGTTAATCTGGATTTCGGAAAGACCCAAGCTATAGACATTATTTTGATTATGGCAGTGACCCATATTGGCCCGTTAGACAATGAGTATGTTCCGATATTCCCGAACAGTAGGCATTGCCCAGTATATTTCATTGCTCCGATTTTACTGAAATGTACTGTCTACGTTTTCGCGATCCATTGCAAGGAACCCTGTTGGAGGGTAAAAGGTAACTGTCGGCCACTGTTGCAGAAATGGTGATACTGTGCTTGAGTATTCATGAAATGTCAGGTTAAGCGTTTGAATTGTTAGGTTTCATCATTTTCTAATACTTTGGGAAAATATTTGAACTTGAACTGAAAGATCTCATAGAGGCAGTAGACGCTGAAACTGCGCCACTAATCTACAAGATGGTTTGTTACTCCCACTTTTGATATCAAATATTTCAAAACTATGCTTCATTTCTTCATCACTGGAACTGGAGATAGGTACTACAGCTTGGTGTTTCTGATGAACCAGAATCACTATCGGATATAATATGGCTTCTAAGATAATATGATGAGTAACTCCATCCAAAATTCCAAGATGATGAAAATGAAAACCAACAAAATAAAACATAGAAAATCGAAAGATTAAAGGTAATGGTTATGTCACATTATATTCCGAAATGAAATGAAAATTCAGAGCCACTTCTACTGTTTAGTGCCCCTCAATTGCTTACTGTGGCCAGTTATGTCAAAAATATCGGCACATAACCAATAAGGGTCTGAACTACTGATGGATGAAGCCCAAAGTGGGTAACCTTTCTCATGATATCAATATTTCATGTGATTCGGAAAACCTTTAACGTTCCAAATCATTGAGTATTTCGAAAATATCACTTTTTTCCTTGTATTGACTATATAATTCCACTAAAATGACACCTGTATATCTTGTCGTTTTCACTCAGCATATGGACCTGTTATACTTTTATTATCTTCTATTCGTGTCATTGATTGCCTTCTTGAGTAACTAAGTACACTTTCAACTTCATGAAGTTTCCAATTGTACTAGTTTTCTTCTGGATAACTATATATAGGTACATACCTAACGTTAGATATACTCAATTCATTATGTACCAAACTGCAGATTATCATTCGATTTGACCACATTGATTGTGTAGGTCAAGAATACATAATTCTGCCGATGTTTTTGACATCTACATGTTCACGTGTCCTAATGATGTTATATCAGAGTAATAAACATTTATGAATTGGCAACATTGTTTCAAGTCATCTTAACTCTAGAATTATCACTTATCACTTTCGCTGCTCATTTGCAAGCTCGTGTTGGAATCTGATAGGGGCTTTTATCAAGTCAGTGCGGCGTGAGTGGCGTTCTAAAAGTAGGATATCTTTTTTCAAGGAGAACATTTATCCAAACGATATAGATCTAAAGTTTCCTTAGAACAGCATGTATCAGACGATCTCATCTAGCATATACAAAGGTATCAGAAAAAGTTGTAGGGGATTATAGTAACTATAGGTTATCGAGCTCAACTGTCTGGGTAGGTAACTAATTATATTACTGAAACAATGTTACGATATTTCAAAGTGGAGTTCATGAAAGATAGAGGCTTCTGTTGAGGAGAATTCGAGAAGATCAAAAATCTGAATGGAAGCAGTCAGAGGCTCGCTAAATGGCCCTCATGCGATCAGATACAAGCTACTCTGTAGTAAAAACACCGTTCAAATACTTCAGTGGAATGAATAATTTTTGTCTTGGGGTCAGGTCAGGGATGTTCAATATCTCAATTCCAATATATACCTACTGATCGTGAAAATGCGGAACGAAACGCCACGTGGTGACGTCAGCTAGATTTTGAGCATATATTGGGTTGCCTGTGATACAACTGTATTAATAATGAAGTAATGTGACGCTGAGCTCACGACCTGACGTCACAGAGGAGATGCTAGATTTAGCGGAGATTCAGTTGCATATCCTAATGGTTGAGCAGCCACTGACAACTTACAAACACTATGCTGTTTGCACTGATGCTTTTAACCGCTTCTAATTTCTAACTGATACAGAGCAATGCGTGATGGGATAGCGTAATAGCGCCTTATCACGCTCACCCCTTGTAGCTCGTAGCACAACGAATCTTGGCACAAAGCTCCATCTCGTTCTAAATTATATTTCAATTATACACCTAGGAGTCGTAATTACTGGCATTCCAGCACGCTCATCCCATTCGAAACTATAAATTATGGAGATGGTCCCGATAAGCTTCAATCAAACAGGTTGATGATTTCGTTATTGTGAAAGGACAGCGCACGAATGAAATGCCCGCAGTAGGAATTACATGATTTTATCTATTTTATTTTCGAATATAAGATGATCTTGCATTATACAGGGTAAAGAGTTATTCATTGGGTTGTCCCAACGAATGGAGTTCAAATAATTTTACTATTGACCTGCTCAACCTGTCTTTCTTTATACCACCACATCGCATCCATTCCCTCTTGATCAGGCTTGAGGCAGACCAGCTATAAGCTAGTGGGGAAAGATGTGACCTAACTCTCTCAGCCACTTCCGAAAACTACAAAATAGATATTTATATATCAAGAAAGCAAAGGTATCCATTTCCTTCCACGTGTAAAGTTTTATGCCCGACGGAACTGCAATTTCTTTCCAAGCAGTTTTTCCAATAGTACTAAGAACACCTATAGTTATTCATTTTCCTTTCCTATTCCAGAAATTTAGTGGTTTCTCGATTTTCCGGTTTCGAGGGCTGAGGAAGTTCTCATTATAGTTTAATTTCCTTTGAAATTGGATACTTGATCTTTCACAAAGATTTCTGAATTATTCTTGTAAGTAGGCACGCATATGATTTTCAAGAAATTATAAAAATGACGACCTCAAAGGTAGTAGAAAAAACATGGCTATTCTTCTAATTAGAAATGTCTTTCTTTTGATGACGTGGAACGTGGAATATCTCTGAACTCGAGTAATTGTTGTTTACTGAGATGATATGAGTGGGAAACGAAAACACATGTACTTTGATCAGAATCACGTTCATTGGAAGTATTGCAATTAGATATACTAATCCTCGACTAAAAAAGGAACAATTTTCCATCCTCAAGCAATACTAAATAATAGAACAGTTAACTAATGAAATTGAAATCAATAAAAGTGAATGTTTTTCCTAAATTTTGACAGTTCACTTCTCACTCTTGTTGAATATTATACCCTTTCGACAATATCACAAAGACATGCCTTCCACCCACCAACGCTGCTCATCGTTTTCCTTCACAACCACCCTCACCCAGAATACCTATGAAACTGATCTAGCTTTTGTTTCAGAGAGCCAATGGACAGTCTCTTCATGGACCAGCACTTCCTCCGCTCCTCCCTACGCCTCTACTCTGGAGACCCCCTGGACGCCGAAAACAACAACGCCAACTCCTTCTTCTCAGCAGCGATGGTCGAGAAGGCCCGAGCCCAGATCCAGATGTGGGGGCGAGCGGGGGGGCCCTACAGCCCCAACGACCTGCACGCCTTTCTGCTCAACAGCTCCCCGTCGAACCAACAGGTGTACCTCAGCCAGCGCCCCTCGGTGCCTCTGGGAATCACGCAGCTGTGGCCGCAGAGCGCAGCTTCGTGGCAATCCTCGATGCACGCGGGGCTTCTGGGCCCCCCTAGCGCTCATCGACCCCAAATCACCCCTCCTCCTTCGTCCACCCCTAGTTCCTCGGGCTCCCCCTCGCCCACTTCTGTCAGCGCCTCCTCGGATATGCGGCTGCCGAAGGCTATTTTCCCAACGGCGCTGAGGTTTAGTCCTTACGCGCCTATTGCTAGGGCGACAGGGTCTTCGATTAGCCCTTCTAGGTCTAATCATTGATGTTGAGGGTGCTATATCTGCTTGCCTCAGTGAGTAACCAAAGAGTCTTGTGAGACGTTAAAATTTGAACATAACTTTGTAAATAGGTAGGTATCTAATACAGGGTGTTTATAAATGTGACATGGCGATAAAGATAAGATAAGGTAGACCTGTCAGCTCTTTGTCATATTTCCTCTTTCAATAGCTAGGTCTACATTTCATATATTTTTCAGAGATCTTCGAAGGATAGAGTTGCCTTTGTTGCCACTAAGACGGATACTGTACTGTTTCGGCCAAACAGGCTTCATCAGTTATTGTGTTGACAATTATTGGGGAAACGGTTTCATTTTTGTAAATATTATTCTTCAGCAACCCCCGAGTTATTCTTCAGATGAATTATTTTGATTAGAAAATCACATTCTAAATGTTAGATTCTATGTCGCCCTGTATAGTCGGATTAATTTATTGAATGGGAGCTAGATAGTGATATTTTAATTTGTATGTATGTGTAATTATGAAGTTTTTGTACAAGAACAGTATTAATGTATATATCCATTATTTTTGGTGTTTCAGTTCTCGCGAGAGAACGCATACAATGTTCCTTGTTCCATAGATGGATTTGGCGAAATGATTGTAGAGAATATATATCAGTCTTAGATCACTTAGACACAACAAAACATTATTGGGATTATTTCATGACTTTTGTAATCATTTCTCTGAAATGGGCACTAGTTGTTATGTATTTTGTAACCAGCTGTAAATTTAAAAGTTATATAAGTACACTTGATGTCAATTATTGTTTTATCGGACTATCATTATTTCTCTTATATAAAATTATGTTGGACATTTGTTGTTGTTGTAAATATATACCTGTCAGTGGTCTGTAAAATCTAATGAAAAAAATAAATACATTATATTCATATAACGCTTTTCATTTATCTATAGACATTCCCCATAACATCTCATGTATGTGAGTATATATTATGAAGGTATACTGAGTAGGAGACTGGAGAAATTAAATTCATTTTTAATGTATCTACCCTTCATATTCAAGGAGAAATGAGTCGCAAGGGAAAATTATACACTTGCATTTAGAAAAATGATTTTTTCTTTTCTTCAAACAGGCTGCCTTTAAAAATTAAACTTGTTTGTGCTATACAAATCTGCGGATAATTGACATATACCGTTCGCGCATGTATATGTATATGTACAAGTACACCTGACCTTGAAAACACGCTCTAATGCATGGAGAACCCGGGAAGATTCCTCCATGTATCATTTGTTAAGATCAAAATATACATAATACTAATGCCCTCAAAATGGCATAACTACTAGGTGAAATCACGTCTGAAAATCTCTCACTATCTTCCTGTCAATAACTTCAGCCAAACAATAGATGCATATAAAGAATTATACAATGCCAAAATAAGATCGAACTCTTATAGATTGTCATATTGGCTCTCGTTCGTTTTGGTCCCTCGCTAAGGCAGTCAGAAAGAATTTTATTGATAGTCCATTCCTACCGCTCTCCAAAGCCGACGGAACAGTAGCATAAACATCGCAGGAGAAGGCAAACATTTGCAGATATTATGTACTCAGCAAACTCTATACCTTAGATTTCGAGGAAAGAATGCCGCCATACATTTCACATGTTGAAAGACGGATGCCCGAAATCGTGTTCCGTCAACTCAGTATCAGACTCATTCTGCTCGTTCTCAAAACGAATGAGGCTAACGGTCCTAATGTAATTCTACCCATTATTCTCAAAAAGTGTGCTCCAGAATTGACAACGATTCTCTGTCTGCAAGTTATTAACCATTTCGTACAAGTCGGGTATCTTTCCATCTTGGCTAGAGTCCAACTAATCACGAAAAAAGAGACAAAAGCCTGACCAATAGCTATATGGATTGGGCGAGTGGACTGATAATGAATTATCGGCATCCAGTTACCCACTCCACTGTGTCGTTAGGGACCTAAATTAATTTTTGCGACACTTTTCACGTATTCTTATGTCAATAAATAGTCTATGCGTTGTTCAAAATCGAAGAATTTCATACCTACCGTCATGGCCGCAACTTGGCGATACGTCGAATGAATGGTGACGTCAGTTTTCATGCAGTTTCGTTATTGGGCAAATAATCTTCGATTCCCACTCATGAAGCAAGGTTGTCAAGTTATCAATTATAAACGAGTTTGTTACAACCACAAAATGAATCATAGTTCTGTAGGGCAAATTTCTGGTTCTATATCAAGATAAACAATGAAAAATTGAAAAAGATTACTCACAGTTTATTCAAGAATTCCTCACAAAGATTCAGCGCACCAAATCACTGTATCACCTTGAAAAATACACACACACTGAAACGAGAGAAGCTAGTAGTCGATTGATTATCATTCTATTCTTTTATAATTCGGTCAGCTGCTCTCATAGTCTGGATCTATTGATGATCAACATCTTTGTCAGAGGAAGCTCTCTAGTTTTCCTTGGAGATCATCACAGTATATTCACGTGAAAATCCTCGCTTTCCTTGGAGATAGTCTCCGATGTAGATGTGTTGAATCGAACCTGAAAATGAAGCAGGAGCTGTATCGAGGAAGTCAACTACGGGACAAAATAATACTCACCACATCATCGGTCGTTTCCAGTCCTCTCGAAATCGCCTAGTGCGGATTCAACTTGCAGACCGGCCATTTTCGTGTAGCGTTCCCAGTTCCAGCCTGTCGAATAGACAGAATCTTCAAAGCCTCCCACCATCCACGTAAGTAATATCCTTGTAATGTCTTAGAGAGTTGTGGGATTTGCTATTCCCAATGTCATCTTCATTGATAGGGCTTTCACTTTCGGGTTTGACCTTCCACCTGGGATATTCTTGTCTCCCCTGTATGGAGTCCTCCTGTTGGACACCACTGTCACCTTTAATTCCTGCATGGCTGATTGGGATATCATCAAAGGTGTTTTGGACTTCCGACCCGAGTTCCAACTCAAGTGGACATTCATCATGCTTGAGAAACAGCCCCTACTGCACGGGATACCAGCTGCCAGGGTTGAGGCTGCTAAATGACAGGGGCCTATCCAGGACACCTTGCCCACCACTTCTTCCTGATTGGGGCCTAAAGCAAGGCCTACAGCAACCCATGTTACCTAAGTGTTGAGGTCACCTATTGGCGGTATCAATATGATTGAAGGGTTAATTTTGTAGGCCCAAGAGAGATCTCCCTTGCGCACAGGCTATCCTTCCCTGGTTAATTTGATTTTTGATTTGGAATTATATTCAAGATTTGTCCTTGATAGTTGCAAATAAAAGGGTAATTATTATGGGTAGGTTATATGGGAAAAATACTCCCCTGATACCATTATACTGATATTGTATTATGTTCAAAACTGCATTGCTAATACCATGATCAATCCATTAAATATTTAGGTTCAGCCGAATTGTTGTTTTATTGGGGGATCCAAGAGCTATCATACAGAGAACCCACGAAGCTAGTCAGGCCGTGTGCTAATAATTCTCTAGTCACTGGACAAGCCTAGTGCACGTTAAATAAATTTCTTGTTGAATTCCTTGGTCAGATTTTTGAACAGAAGTCTGTGTAATAAAATCAGAACCCACCATTTTTAAGTAAAGTACTTACATCTGTAGTTGATTAGGGGTTATAAAATCCCCACTTATTCCTGTGGAAAAAAAAATATTCTAACAAGTTATCATAAAGGTGTTAGAGTCCTGATGTCGTTGAATAAAACATAATAGGAGGAAGCCTAGATATTATAGTTCAGTCTTGACTGTTTCGATCAACCAGCCTGTCCGAATATTTCTTATACTCCATAACAAAATATCATGTAAATATTGGAGACTTGGCAAACATTGTGCTGAATGCTGAGAACTGACAAGACAACACCAACAATTCATGCCCCGTGTTGTCACAATCACTAGTTCTGATGTCCTCTAGTGTAAATTACTATTATTATTATTTACACAAATGTATTATGAGCCATAAGCCACAACACATGAGGGCAAATTTTGAGACGATCGATTTTTTATGGCTAATTAGAACTATCAAAAATACATTCCTGAGAATTCATAAAAAAAAAAAGTAATATTTCTGAAGTTCACTATCGTATTTCAACATATATAGCAACTGTGCTATGGTCTGCCCCTATTTACGAAATTGTGACGTCAGTTTTTATTCACGGTAAATTTTTAGTCGTATCATTATTGATGATTTTAGCACCTTCAAATCGACCGGAAAATTCTAAAAAAATATGAAATTCCAAGGTATTTGAGCGATGATTCTATTTAAGAGATGAAAAAAATAGTCCACTTGTCTATTGTCCCGGTATCAGTCATCTCCAAAATGATGGAGAAAGAATCAACATTGAGCTCATCAAATATCTGGAAAGCTGGGAATCAATAATGATAGACAATATAATATGGCTTTCGCCACCGAAGATCGACGGAAGATTCACTTGCCTACGTCACCCATATATGGCAAACTTCATTAGAAAAACATGGGGAATCTGTAGCTGTGGCGTAAAAAATATCGAAGGCATTCGATCGTGGTTGGCACCAAGGGCTCCTTCACAAACTACCATCATATACGGCTCACCACTTCAGCTATGCATTCTTTTATCGAATTTCCTCTCAGGCAGATCGATCCATGTGCGTGGTGGTGGACGGTGTATCGTCTGATACAATTACCATCAATTCCGGCGTGCCACACGAAACAATTCCGGGACCAACATTGTTCCATCAACTACAAACCAATTATCTGTTGGGAGCAACTACTTGCCGTATCCACAGCTTTGCAGAAAATAATACTCTCCATACTTCGTTCTTTTCAAGAATTCCCATTTCTTCCCAAGAAATTCAGAACTTATGACGAAGGCAGGTCAACGATATTAATGACGATCTTGATGGAATTACAGCTTGGGCATGCACCATCGAACGTCACCAACACTCAAGCGTGTATTTTCTCAAGAAATGCGGAATTCAAGTTTGCCATATAAAAATGGCTGGTACTAGAGTGCCTCGACAATCTCATGTTACGCTCTTCAAAGAATGTGGTAACACTTGTCATCTTGATGAACAGCTGAACAAAAAACATGAGACACAAATATGTTTTATAAGAGATGGAAGGTCATTTTTCTGTACTTCTCCGTGGAACGATTGCAGACATATGATTTTTTCAAACCCTAACATTGGCGTAACACCAAAGACACATAATACTCATTGTTTACTTGAATATTGGAATTCGAAGCTTCAACAAACATTTGAAATGTCGTCGCGTCTTTGAGCAGCTCAAATAAATGTTGACTATCATTCTCAGAATTTGTGCAATAAATCTGTGAATGATGACAATTCGGAAATGTCAGTGGTGACAAGCATGTCCACACTTTTAAAAGGACAGAAAATTAGGAATTTGAGGCACTCTAGCTAGTACCATCATTCCCATCAAGACCACTATGTCTGCTCGGTATTTCCATCAGCAATACTCTTTCATGAGAAAATCATGTCCAATCCATCGCGAAAGCTGCTTCATACAAACTTGGATTTTAATTCCGTGCGAAAATGTACTTCACACCTCGATAGCTCCTCATATATGGTGTTTAGCACCCAAACATATGCTGATGCTCTGATCGATTCCATCCAGAGAAGAGCCATTTGCTAGGTAGGTGACGCCACAATCACTAATCCTTTGATCTCATTAAAACACCATAGAAAAGTCGGCAACCTCGCACTTTTCAATGGATACTTCTACAAGAAATATTCCAAACTTGAAATATTTTGAACAACACTTTTCCAAAACTCGTTCGTCTATAGAATAGCAAAACTTTAGGATCATTTGCCAATGGGAGTATAATATAGGCGTATTTGTTTAAATGACATCCCCTTGTTGGTT